TTTTCTCTTCCTTCCATTTTGAGTAAATGTGTTTTTCTCTTTTTACAATTTTAATTATGTATTTATTTGTTTTAATTTGTTGTAAACCGCCCAGAGTCCCCCACTGGGGGGGGAGATGGGGAGGGACAAGTCTGCTAAATAAATAAAAATAAATAAAATAAAATACTATCTGATGGTACTTCTCCACTGAGCCTTGGTAATCAGTTTCGAGGGTTGACTGTAGCTAGTTTATCCATATCAGCTGCTGTTCTCTGTAATGGAGGGGGTGGCAATGATGTTCCAGCTTCAGGTGTTTGCTGCACATCCAATTATTCTTCTGGGTCTTCTTGAGTCCAGGATGTAATGTGCAGTTGGTCTATCTCAAGTTTTGAGAACAGCTTCCTCTTTACTATGTTGAAGCATTGGGTAACTAGCTGTTTCTCAGTTAGTGTGGATGTAGGTCTTCTGCCCATCCATAGTTCCCTCATAGATTTCATATATCCCCTCTCACTAGGTCTACTGACATAGTAGCATTCCATCAATTCCAGGTTCTCTTGTCTCATCCATGCATGGTTTGTGAGATCTAAATGGAAAACTTTGTAGCAGACGGCTTACAACTGTAGCCTCTATGCTTCAGGGGAAGCACAGCTGATGTCTGTGTGTGTGTGTATAACATGCACTGAATTCAGTGGACTCCTGAATTAAATTCAGCTACTTCAGACCCTGGAGATAAAGTGGAATCTCTATTAAGTAAATTAAACTGAATCAAAATACTCAGGGGTATTTTGTGTATATATTGGCACTTTCAGAGTGCCATAAAATCAGAGGTTCTCAAGGGAAAAAAAGTTACGTTTATAATGCTAAGATGGAAAGAAATGGAAGGAAGGTGGCTGGAGTTAAGTAACTGACAAGTGTACTTTCTAATCATACGGAATGATTCACCAGAGGTTTTCCAATCACAGTATCTTGAGAAAGGCATTTGCCTGTGGTTATCTAATTCTATCCCAGAACAATAATTGCAGCATTTACTTGTCTTAGAAAAAACATAGAAAGGAACCTAGCTTCAAACCTCTGCATCTGTATTGTGTAATTTGGCAGGTTTCTTCCCAAAAAGTATTGACCATTTTTGTAGATATTGTTTACCAAATAAATAAATGGGGCATAGAATTATCTTTTTTCATTGAACTGTAAGACTCCTGGAACGTGGCAGTATTTATTTTCTCAGGAGAAGCAGCGATGTCTGCAAACATAATCCAATTCTGACCCAAACTAACAGGTACAGACAAGGCTCCTTGTAAAAAAGCAGAATTTAACAGAATACCCCCAAACCTCCAGCACATATTTCACAGAACCTAGACAGGTTTTATCCCCTCAGAAGCAAGTACTAGACCTACAAATTTCACCCCTTATATTAGAAAATAAAAACTGGTCATTTGTGTCTTTCCCATGCTAGTCTCACTCTGTTTTCCAAATCACTAAATCAAACCTGGACTGGAACTTGGGACTGGTGTGAGAGTTGACTTCTTTCCCATCCTGACCACCCAGGAAGAGATGGAAGGAAAAGTAATCAAGTGATAGTTCACTTGGGCTCCCAAAGATTCATGCTAATCCATGAAGTTATTTGTAGTCTCACAGAAGAGGCTGAGATTTATAAAATTTATTCTA